AGCTACATTAACATTACTGTAATGTATTTCTTTTAGGTTTCCAAGTGGTTCTCATCTAAATGGAGCTGTTTTGTCTGAAAACTAAGTTCTAAGTTTAGTCATGCCTAATTTAGCCTTGTAATTATTAATATTCTGGGGAAAATATACACTCATAATATTACAAAGTACAGATGTTACTGCAACTCCTCTGAGGTCATCAGTCTAGCGCAGGGGTAGGCAACCTGCGCCTCCAGAGCCACTTGCGGCTCTTTAGCCCCTCTCCAGTGGCTCCATGTGGCTTTGACAAATACTAAAATGAAAATGAATAGTTATTTATTTATTTGTTTACATTTCAATTGTCTTTTACCATTGCTGTTGGCCTAAAGAAATTATCCCATTCTCTAGTGGTAAAAATGTGTAGCCTATACACCAAATAAAACGGTTAAAACCTCAATAGCAGTGGCTAGTCTTGAGACTCCCTGACTAGCTATGGATTGCATTTTTTTTTTTTTTAAGTAAAATTCTTGGAGACAAATTACAAAATTTAATATTGTGTGGACAGATTAATTTGCTTTCACCGCCAACGCTGCAGAGGTAAAATACCAAATAATCATGAATAACTGACCACAGAGGAGCCAAAAACATATTTATGGATGCTGATTTAGACCTATTAGTAATGTTGATGGGCTAATTAAGACTATATAGGCTAGGTTATCGTCTTATTAAGGCTTAAAAATATTTTGTGGCTCCAGGCAGATTTTTCTATATTATCTTTTGGTCAAAAATAGCTCTTTTGTCTGACCCCTGATCTAATGCCATTACTACCTTGGATCTGTGACTCTTGCTCATCTAGTTGCAACACTCCTGGAACAAATTTAGTCAAGTCAATTTTATTTATATAACCCAATATCACAAATCACAATTTGCCACAGGGGGTTTTACAATCTCTACAGCATATGACACCCCCTCATCCCTGGGGAATTTGAAGACCAGGTCAATGCTGTGTGCAATTTGTCACAATCTCAGGGCCAGTCCTGAACACTTTTAGCAGTGTGGCATGACCCATCATTCTGCTGAGAGGGCCACTGCCGTGAGTGAGTGTACTTGTCCCAGCATCCACATGAATGCCAGGACCCAAGGATTCCCATTGTAATAAGATGTTCAAAGTAATTCACTTCATCTGTCTGAGGTTTGATTGGTGTAAGTGCTGTATGGGGGCTCAGACACTCAAGTTTCTTTTTCTAGTCAAACTTTCTTCATCTTGCTGCTCTCTACTGACCTTTTGACCTCACTCAGACAAGGACATGGAGCTTCTGTAATACTACGACACAATACCTGGTTTCACTGACAATTTATGTGGAAATATCAGAGTTAAAGTTTGGACAAATGAAATGGACATTATGGGATACAGAAAGGGACTGACCATCTTTTTGTCTAGTGCAAAATATGTGCACCAGCTTAATAGTAAAAAGACTTCACAATAACCTGTTGCAGCACTTATTATTTCCTGATTTTTATCCATCTTCCTCTATCTAGAGAGTAAGATCAGAAAACCAGCGTGTGACCAACTGACTGTCGAAACGTTAACTCCACCCTCACTATCTGTTCTCTGTGGTCAGAGGCTTGTTTGTCATGGTATAGAACAGATGGATCTACTTACAGCATCTAAGGAATGTTAAATGCAGCAGAACACTCGCTGCTCAGCATTTTTTCCCCAACTGATTTATTGAAGACTGTACCCCTCCACATTTTAGCATCAAAACTAAGCCCCATGTAATTTACATGAACAGGTTAAGAAAAACAAAACACTCAAACTCTATTTCCTGAACAAAGAAAATCTCCAGAGGCAATGTAATGTTTTCTGTTATACTGCTTCATCGTGTCATTTCATCCACAATTATATGATACTCAGTGCTGTTTATTCTTTATCCCTACCATGCTGCAGCACAAATGAAACTGAGCAGATGTTTGCAGGTTGTTTGGTTGCGTTTCTGATCATTTTGCAATCTGCAATTCCCGCACAGTGGATGTGTAACTGCCAAGTGCCCAAACCATCGGCTTACAAGCATACTGGGAACGTCATACCAAATATATGTGCAGCTGACTCTTAAATTTGCACACCCAAATAAGAAGGCACGTACACACAAAACAATGTAACAACCATAAAACACAAAACCAGCCTCACTGTCTTTAACTAAACCAAACTCTCACGCTCCTTTACCTCCAACAGAAATGCCACTTTTCCCTGGAAGGAAAACATGTAGTTAAACAAATATGCATCCCCTGAGATGAAGCACAGCTCACACATCCACTTACATGCATTCAAACAACCAGACATCCATACACTGTAGTCCCAAGAGGGTGGGGCTTCTTGTTGCTTGCTTGATCGCCCACCACCACGTTTAGAAAAAAAAACAAAACATGTGAGCATGAGTGTGTGAGAGGAACAGAGGGGGCAGGGGGTGCAGCCGGGGCGCTGAACAGTGCCTCTGAAGCCTCAGAAAAAGGACCTACAGATTTCATGAGCTCAGGACAAAAACAAAAAACTGGTTGGTAAGGGGAATCAAGTGATGACGAAGGGCAGGAAAATGTGATGGTGTGAGAGTTCAGACGGTGCTGGAAACTTTCAACAGAGGATTTGGGAAGTTGAGGAGGAAGGCAGCACGTACATATAAGATAACCACACAAGCTCACTGTCTGTGTTCACTCAATCGTCAGCCACTACCGGAGGTAAGTTCAACAAAATGGCATGCTGTCCTTGTTAAGAGAGTGCTGATTGCTACTTATTTTTAACATACTTGGTAAAGATAATGAGTGCAGATGATTTCATAATGAAATTAATCTGAATAAGATAAGGATAGCGATCAGTAAGTTACATCAGTAATAATCTATAACTAAAATACAACCTTTTGTACATATTTTAACCTTGATTTTGTTAAATAATGTGTATATTCATGTGTAAAGCACAATACTGCCCATAGGATTCTTGGTTTGTGCTGATTTCAGTAATTTTTGTTAGAAAATGTGGTTTATTTTGGCTAACTTGAGTTTTAACACTACGTTAGATAAAGTGGTAATCTAAAACCTTTTATATAGAATATGAATTAACTTGGCTGGTTTGACTGCTGCTCTCTGGTGACACAGGTCCCCACTTTGCTAGTTCAGTATTTTCATGACAGACAAAGTGCTGATCTTTCAGCCCCGGGGAAAGGGGGAAAAAATCAAAGCAATTAATGGTGAACTGGAAATGCTTTAGCCATTACACTGTGCTGCAGAGCATTCCAGTTTGTCTCAGCCGGCAGCAGACAGTGGTTTTATTTGGACTGGGATGTTATAATATATACCACAGAGGAAACATGGTTTAGCTGTCAGGTTTTATTGATTTTGCGTCTAGAAGCAGTGATGCTAGAATGTGTCATGTGTCTGAAAGCTGTTGAAGCTGCTTTAAGTCATTGTTCCTGATACTTTTTTCTTTTAATGTAGTAATGTTTGCCACTGCGAAACATTCAAGAGGAGGGTAATTATTAGTCTCACTCACCAGACCTTTCTCAAGAAAAGAAAGGGAATTATAAACAGATAACACATTAATTTTACTTTATTTTCATGTAGATGCATAATCAGATACATATCCATGACTTAAATATGAACTTTGACCTTTCACATTTACAGAAGTAAAGAAAAGCAAAGTGGTGATATTGATGAAACCAGTGGGTGTTACCCCACCAAACCATCCAACAATCAAATAAGAAGGAAATTTATAACTAATATTACTAGGGGTTAGAATTATTGACAGTGGTAGTAAAAGTATTGAATACTGGTCAGAGGTGGAGGAAGTACTCAGAAATTTAACAAAAGTAACAATACTATAGTGCAAAAATACTCTGGAACCAGTAAAAATCATGCATTTAAAGTCTTGCTCAAATAAAAGTATGCAACTATAACCATAAACATATATTTAAAGTAACAAAAGTAAAAGTGCAAATTTCTTTAGAATGGGCCATTTCAGAATAACTACTTTATATACTGCTGGGTAGCTTAATCTATAATAATACATCATAATTTAATCACTTGTAAGTACATTTATGAAATATAAATACTGGAGTAAAAAGTATGTTTGCCTCAAAAATGCTGAGTAGTAAAAGTATAAAGTAACATAAATTGAAATACTCAAAGTACAAGTAAGGCAAGCTTGTACTTAAGTGCAGTATTTAAAAGTAAATGTACTTAGTTACATTCCACCACTGGTACTGATAAAGTAGGAGTACTGGTGGGGTTGGGAGTAAAGAGAAACATGTGTTAAAATAGCACAGTCATAATGTTTTACGAACAATGAAAACATTATTTTCCCTCTCACAGCTGGAACTCAGCACCGCACCTCTTAAATGTAAGCAGACATGAGTAGAAAATGTATTGAAAATGGAAACAGCTGTGATGCACCAGGATGTATTTTATGACCATGTACCTTTGATGTGAAAATGAGGGAAAGAAAGAAAGAAAGAAAGAAAGAAAGAAAGAAAGAAAGAAAGAAAGAAAAAGAAAGAAAGACAATAAATCTGGTACCTCTGCTGCTGAGCTCATTTGAGGGACATAGTGGTCTCTTTAGAGAGTTACTTCCTCGGAAAGACTCTCTCTGCACCCTAATACACCTCAGCCTCTGAGAAACAACGCAAGCTTGCCAACCTAAGTTGCAGAACTTTAAATGGATTTGTATGGAGAAGCGGGTCATTATGTTGGCACAGCTTTGCCTTTGGAGCCTGCTGTGCCATCACAAATAGTGAGCCCAGCCTCCGCCACAGCCTCAAACATGTGCAGGCAGTCTCTCGTGTTTAGATGCACTGTAGACACAACACAGAGATCATTTTGCTTGTGGCAGCAAACCAAACACTACGTCCATATTTAGTGAGGGAATACTCTGTGGTTTGGGAATTTACTTGTAAAAAAAATCTGTGGCAAACTTTACATGTGAGCTCCAAAAATGCTACTGAACACTAATACTGAATACATGGTTTTAATCCCAAAAGGCTGCTAAGCATGGGGATTTACCAGCCAACCCTGTTGGCACTGTTGACGGGCAACGCTCCTAACCGCAGGCAGCAAAGTACAACGCTGGATCAATTTATGCAAATGTCTCCTTTTTGGTCGAAACAAGAATGCTGAGGCTGCAACATGTAGGCACTGTTACTAATTAGAGTTGCCTTCAGTATAACTGCCTTGTTATGGTGGTGATTTAAAGCGCAGAGAATCCACAGTTTGTGCCTGTTTTTGCAGTGAGAGGAGAAAAAACAGACCACAGTCTCAGTCCTGATAACATACAACTATTGTACATCAAATCTCAGAGAGCAATGCCGTTTCCTTCACGGGCAAGAGTTGACCATGGTATTGTGGTACAAGCAATTCAGCAATTTCAAATTTAAATCGGAATTACTTTTAATGCTTTATCTCTACTGTTTTGTGTTACTGGCACCTTTATGGTGTTGTTGGTCATCTGCTTTTAGAGATAGGCACTGGCATCAACCTGTGAAAAGCTCAGCACTGACCTGAAGAGATACTCCAGCAATTACTAGTTCTGGAGCACCTACTTGAAAAATAATGGGCAAAATAAAGCAGCAAAGGCCAACATAAACTAATTTTTAGTTGAGCCACAGAGGACACTGAACATAGACAAGCTGAGCAGAAGTAGTCCCATTGACTATTTAACTGACTTTGATGTGATATTATTGGAATCCCCCTTTAAAGACAAAATAGGTGTATTTAGCATGAAAAGACTGGCATGCTCACAAAGCCCTTTGCCATCTAAGTAAATCTGTACAGGATTTGTCACCAACCTTGACCATAACATAGCTGTTTCTTTTGTTCTAGGTTACATCATGGACCTGACCCTGACCCTTCATGTGCTCCTACTTCTCTGTTCCCTCCATGCTGTTGTTTGGGCGTGTCCAGATGGATGCAAATGTCAAGAAACCAAAATACTTTGCAGTGGCCTCTAGGAATTCCCCACAACTGTGCCCTCATCTACCACTACCCTCTACTTCTCCAATTGCAGTATCTACTCCCTAAGACCTGAGGATCTGGCTGATTTCTCCAATGCTCTTGGCATTTTTGTGATTAAAGACACTGTTTTGAGAGAAGTGCGCACTGGCACATTTGATTCCACTCAAAACGTAGGTGCCTTAGCGTTTACTACCACGGAGCTGCAGGATCTCCCTGAGGCCTTGTTCCAAAATCTTCAGAAGCTCGAGTCTCTGAATCTGAAGAGCAACAAACTCCTAGTACTCCGCCCCAACTGGTTTACCCCACTGGCACAGCTGAAACTCCTTGACCTCAGTAAGAACCTTTTCACTTCTGTACCTGTGGAAACTTTTCACCCTCTTACTGAGCTACAGTACCTTATGCTTTCTGGAAACAATATCAGTCAACTACCTAGAGAGACATTTAAAGGTCTCTCAAACCTAAAAACCTTACGACTTAACAAAAACTCACTACAGGAACTCCCCCTTGGCATTTTCGATGACCTTGCAGACCTGGAGGAACTATCCTTACATGACAATCTAATCACTAATCTCCACCAGGATTTGTTCTCCAAGATGTCGAAACTCCAGAAGCTGTTCCTCTCCCACAACAGGCTCACATCTCTTCCACAAGGGATCTTCTTAAACATGCCCCTCCTTTCCCAGATCTCCCTTTATGAAAACCAGCTGGAGAGTCTGGGACCAGGGGTGTTTGGGCCCATGCCCCTGCAGGAGTTATGGCTGTATGACAACAAACTGAGGCATTTGGAGGATAACACATTCAAGAACCTGACTCAGTTGCATCTCTTGGTGCTCAGTCGTAACCAGATCAGCTCCATATCCACCAGGGCCTTTGAAGGGTTGGAGCAGCTGGGAGAGGTATCACTTCACACCAATCTGCTCTCAACCCTAAAAGCTGGGACTTTCCAAGGTCTGCCGAATCTAGTCAACATTTCCTTGGAGCACAACTTTATCAGCTCCCTCCCTTCAGGTTTTCTCAAGGGCCTGAGCAACCTGGGACAGATAGACTTGCGAAATAATTCCCTTCCCAACCTGCCACAGGAGAGTCTAGATGCCCTCACTGCAGCAAAGGAAGTTCTTTTGCAGCAGAATCCCTGGAGGTGTGACAAGGATATTCTGCCACTTAAACACTGGCTGACACAGCACCCAGCCAAGACCAACCAAACTCTCGTAGTCTGTGAAACACCTTTCAGTCTGAGCGGTGAGATAATCGTCCTACTGGCAGAAGAGAACTTCCTGCCTCTCAGCTCTACAGTGGAGCCTGTGCTGACCTCAACGGAGAAGAGGAGGAAACCACATACTCCTCCAACTAAACGAAGCACTCCCTCACCTGCTGTCAAGACCACCCCCACCTCAGAGCATGAGGAGGTCACCAGCGGCGGGCAAGGGGACAAAGGAACAGTTTCTAATGATACTTCAATCATCCTAATAGTCATCGCAGTAGTGGCCACTGTCATCATCAGCACTGTCATTATCAGCTGTGTGTGCTGGAAGAGGAACAAGAGAGGCAGGGGAAATATAGGCCGCAGAAGTAAGAACTCTGTGCTGTAGATTAGACCACCCAATACTAGCAACCCAAGAACTCTTAAAGCCAAGGGAAAATGCTCACTGATTACTGTGGTTTATTCGGAAAATGTGGAGCCCAGAGTTGATTTTAGGGCCTCAAAGCCAACAGAAAGGACCTCTTCATCTTCATCCAGATGGACCAGCTAGAACAAACTAGTTAACCTTTGAATTCATTTGTTTTTTAATGATCATATTTACCAACCAGTATTTATGTGTGCTGTAAAAAGAGAGCAGACAGTCTATGTACTAACGGTAAAAAAACCCTCATCTTGTGGGCAACAGGACATTTGGTGAATGTAAAATCAGATGCACTGAAACAGTGAGCTTTTTAAAGTAGAATTAAGACTGCATTCAGTATTTTGTTCAAACTATTTTCCATTTTTCAGTATTAATAACTGCAGTTTGATGATGGCTTTTTGTGCTAACAGCAATACATTTAGGACACAGTTTTATTTTTTGTGCAAAATGGCTATTAATGAAAAATCAGAAGTGGCATTCTGACTCAACTGTAACAGTTCATTCTATGGTTTCTTACAATGCAACATGTTATGTTGAATAAATGCACTACTTTTAGTGGGAGCAATCTTACATTGTGTTAATCATTCAGTGTACTAAGTGGTATTACATGCAAGCTTGTCCTTTATCAACACATTATTCAGGAGGGGGATAAAACTCCAAGTTATAACTAGAATTAAAGCCTCGTGGTTGTATGCCTCCATGAACCAGTCAAGTTGCAGTTGACATCTATGTCTGTCCAAACTCACATGTAGCCACGACAGCTGACAATACAAATTCTAAGACATCGATGCTTCACAAACATCTTCAACCCCACAGCACAGAGGATCCATACAATCAGCGCAGTTTTAAGATGGGGGCCAAAGATTTGTCACCATTTCAATATCCGACCAAATGCCTCCCCTTCTGTTCCTGACACAGCCAGAAAAGTGCTTTTGAAGATAATTATAATGTCACAGTGAAGTTGACCTTTGACAATTTTTTAATAAAATGTCATCACTTAATTTTATTCTATTTGACGTTTCTGTGAAATTCTGTCAGAATTAGCATATGAGTTCATAACTTATGGCCAAAAACATGTTTTGTGAGGTCACTGTGACCTTGACCTTTGGCCAGTATAATCCATTCAGTTCAGTCTTGAATCCAGGTAGACGTTTGTTACAAATTTGAGGTACAGGCCATCTGGAAATATTGCATCAATGAGAATACGATGGACGCAAGGTCACAGTGACCTGGACGTTTGACCATCAAAATTTAATCAATTGTTGATCAAATGTTGAGCCCAAGTGGACATTTGTGCCAAATTTTAATATTACCTTAAGGCATTCTTGAGATATCGCATTCATGACAAGAGGATGGACAGATGGTTGGATAGATGGACAGATAGATACCCCAAAATATAATGCCATCAGCCATGGCTATCACCAGTGCCAGAGGCATATAAATAGAGAGTGGCATTATACTGACATACTGTATCAAACTTTCAGTGTTAAGACTGGTAATAACATATTACCAGCCAATCATCTAACTTGTGTCTACTCTCCTCCCTATTAGATCAATTATATATAAAAGGCTGCCATCTAATGGAAGGAAGTCCGAACAGTGTTCAAAACATTTGATTAAAATCCAGCTACTCCACATTTTCCTTTTCCTGCAATTACTGATACCAGCCAAAACAAACCAGTTACAAATGAATGTTTAACTGTTGTCTGACAGTAACAGTGTTCTGAAAGGAAGTTAAAACAAAACACAATCAACAAACTGGAGATTAATGCATGTGAAATACAAGTTTCTGTTTTTCCTGATATAGGAACAGATACATGTATGTTTTTTAAAAATAAAAACATTGTTACATTCCAATGTACATTCCAACATGCTGGCATGTACTGTATGTGCATGAATGATGACTATTCAAGTTTTAATTTGTTGTTTATGCTATTGTCCAAGGTAAATAACATACCATACCTACCACATCAGGTGGCAGGTAGTGCAGTGGTGAAATCTTATGCCATAAGAAGTACAGAAGTACTGTATAAGAGTATAAGAAATGAGAAAATATGTAGAGCAGCACAGTAAAGGCCTAAAATATATTTTAAAAAAAAACTTCTGTCCTTGCTCTTATCTCAAGCTGCAGAAGTGTGTTACACCACGCCTCACATGAGATGCAACACACTCTATAGAAAAGATAACTAATGAGACTGAGCTTGTTTGTGTCTCCCCACTGCTGTAACAACTCGTTTCATATTGGGACAGAAAATAATAAGGTAGGTTTTGGCATTTGACTGAACAACATGTAGATTTAATGATAACTTGATATAGCAAATTTTTTTATGATGTTATTTGATACTTGACCACTCATATACCATCACTAGGAAGAGAAATTATGCCTACAACTGCCTTCTAAATGTGTATACAAGTTAAAAGTCCGAGTTAAATCTACTAGGTTTTATAAATTGTACCTTCTCACATTTTTTTTTATAGTGAATGAACATGGCAAGAGGAGAAATTGTGGTTCTTTTTCTGTCTTTACTGTTTGAGTCCTCATTAACTCAAAAACAATGCGAAAAGGAGACAGACTGCCCCAAAGAGAACCAGGCTGTTTTCAGTACCTCTACAACAGAAATCCCACGCATCCTAAAACCAGGTGTGACAGAAGTTTTCTTTGTGGAAAGCCTAATTGACACAATCCCCAAAGCAGCCTTTGTTGAAAACCCCCATCTTGAAAAGGTGGAGTTCATGAGCACTACCACGACATCTATCGAGCCAGGAGCTTTTGAAGGTTTGGTAGACCTCAAGCATATTGAGATCTCCAGCACTCCATTAAAGTCGATACCAGTGGGAGTCTTTAAAGACCTCAACAACCTGGAGAAGCTTGTAATAAAGCTTAACAAGCTCCGTAGTCTGGAGAAAGGCTTGTTTGAGGGCCTTACAAAATTACGAGAGCTCCTTTTACACATGAACGAGATAGAATCGATTGAAGATGGGACTTTTGATGAACTCGACAACCTCACAGTGCTCCATTTGGCTAAAAACAACCTCTCCGCTGTATCTACCAGCTGGTTCTCAAACCTAAACAAACTACAGACGCTACGGCTTTATGAGAATCAACTGACCACCATTCCTGAAGAGATTTTGCAGAATCTGCCAAACCTAAAGGAAATTGGCTTGCAGGGAAACAAAATAGCAGAATTGTCACCTAATCTATTTCCACATAAAGACCAACTAAGTAAGGTGTACCTGGATAATAATCAACTGACTAGTTTACCTGAAGGATTCTTAGTTGGCTTCCCTCTGCTTAAAAAGCTGACCCTACAGAAGAATAAACTGACGAGTCTACCACCTGTGCTTTTTGGAGAAATGCCTAAATTGACAGAGTTAAGCCTGAGTCAGAACAATCTCAGAGCTCTTCCTAAAAGAATATTCAGCCCTCTGAAGAAAGTCAAGAAGTTAGATCTGTCTAAGAATCAATTTGTCACCTTTTATGCTGAGAACTTTGAAGGTCCTGAGAGGCTCACAGACCTGAATCTACAGTACAACAAGATAAAGTCACTGGACATAGATGTGTTTGAAAAGCTACAATCACTGATCACACTCAAGCTAGCTCACAACGACCTCCAGACGCTTCCTGGGAATATTTTTGAGCCTTTAACAAAACTGAGAAAACTTTACCTCAATGACAACCCTTGGCACTGTGACTGTAATCTGATAGAGCTTCACCTCTGGATGAAGACGAACTCTGACAAGCTTGTGTCTCCTGCTGTCTGTGAGTATCCAGAAGATCTAAAAGGACAAGAAATAAAATCATTACCAGAAGATCAACTTATCTGCCCCACCCTTCCACCCACAACCACAACCACAACTACCACATCACTCCCAACTACAGAACCAACAACCACTATTCTCACTACCACAACACCACTTCCTACTACAACAATAACAACAACCACAATGCCAACCACCACTACACCCCTCACAACCACCACACCCATCACAACACTTCCAACCACAGAACAAACAACCACCATCCTTATTACCACAACAACGACCACTACTTTGCCTACCACCACAACACCTCCCACAACCACCGTAGCCATCACCACATTGCCAGCCACAACACCAACAACCACTTTGCCAACTACGACTCTTGTCTCCACCACACCACTAGCCACAACCACCACAACAACACCAACAACTACTTTTCTGCCAACAACCACACCCACAACAACAATTCCACCTACGACAACTAAACCCACAACTGCTATGACCACAACTACACCTCCAACAACTACGCCCACAACCACTACAACCACAACTACAGCTACAACAACTAAGCCCACTACCACCACTCTTCCGACAACCCAAACAACGACACTTCCTCCACAAACCACTCCAGTGAACTTCACCTGTTCCATGGAGCCAGTCATTCAGGAGCCATCCACTTCCTTCATGCATCAGGACAGAGACAAAGTTCAGGGGTGCAAATCTCAGATGATGATCTACATCGCACTGCTGGTGGTGGAAATCACCTGCACATTGGTACTGGCTAAGTTCACACTGTCTATTTACCGCCTGCTGCAGCGCAGGGAGAGGATGAACCACAGGATCAAACTCACTCGCTTCACCTACAGAAGGGAGGTCATCCTCAGGCCTTTATGAAAGGCAGAGACTGAAGGACAGCACTTTAGAGGAGCTCACTCTTTTGATGCCAGTGATGGTAAATGGCCTCATCAGCAGCCAAAGCATCCCTAGGTAAGATGCTAAATCCCTAATTACTCATATAAAGAGCAACATGTAATATTAGCAAAAATGTTAATTGAATAAAAATATTCAATGTGTATTCCTAAAATTATCATGTTATGCTGCTTGTAAGCATAGTAATGTGTTATATGCATAATGTATTCTACAATGATTAAAAAACTCTGTCATGACATGACATGATTGAAGTCCAGGAACACAATCGTACAGCAGGGGGAGACAGAGATCCATGAGACTTAATTTTCTGTCTCATTTACAGAAAACACAAGGAGATATGGAAACTTTATCTAACACAATCTAGGATTGATGAATACGTGTCTGTTATTTAGATGACATTTTGTAAATTGAATAAAATGTATTGGCTTGTTTATTAAGTATTACAGCTTTACCTTTTCTTTATTTGTAGTTTTCTGTTAAAGTAGCAAACTTACTTTATAAAAGCTGAAATTATTGTATTGAAATTGATCTTTTTATCTAAACAAATGAATCCCACAGGTCATTTCATGAAGAGAAAACATTGAACAGGGGTATAGGACTGGGATTTGTGTTTCATAGGGTTTTCTTCCTGGTAACTGAGAGTTAAACACATTAATTAGGCTTTATTGGCAGTAGCACAGAAGGACAACGATAGGCCAGATTCATTCAGTCTGTGTGAGCATACGTGTGTGCACATATGTGTGTGAGATGATAAAATAAAAAGCTAAAATTCCCTTAAAATATAGTTTACTAGAGCAGAGTAATGACAATAACATTGGACAGTATCTATGAGGTTAAGTGTCAACTTTCTTTTTGAGGTTTTTACATAAAAGTTTAATGAACTTTATGTGGCTCTTTATACATTAACTAAAAGGCATCTAAAAGGTAAAGGGGGGTTTGAAACTCAAAACTGTCCACACCCTAGACTGCCTTAAAACTTAAACCTCCTTGTTACCAAATAAAGCCATACCAGTAAAAACATATCACTGTACAGTATATCACAGAATAACTACAAATACTGCAAGTTGAACTTTGTATTTTGTTCGAAATGCCACTATTTCTAAGATTTACATGAGCAAACAAGCTTATTTATGACTGTTATAATCAGTGTTTTTGTTATAGATTTTTATTAAAATGAAAACTTTCCTTTCCTTCATTGTGGTCTTCCATGCTTCTTTATTATATCATTGTTGTTTTTTTATTTGTGTTTTTACTTTTATGACTTGTTCAAACTGTAGCCAACTACGGTTTCCTCTCAAGGGAACTCTAACAACCAAAATTGCATAATTCATTAATATGTTTTGTTAGCCTTTAAGGCAAAAAACATCTGCGCAGTAATGTTATGGTTTTATTTTCACCAAACCTACATAAAATAACACTCACTGAGTAACTATTTTTGCTCCGAATACTGACTGAAACAACAACAGATGAAATGGAGAAACAGAAACGCTACAGGATAAAATGTCAACAACAGTATTAATAGTAACGCTGCATAAACATAGATTAATGTACATGAATCTGTTCCTCCTGTGCACACTAGGAGACTTCCCACTACACCTACCCTCCTGGAGTGTGAAAAATATCAATTATTTCAGAACAAAGTGTAGGTAGAAACAACCCAGCCCACTATGACCTGCACATTTCTGTCTGTCATGTTGAGAGCATGTACAGCAAAGTGTCAGCATCTGCTCTCAGAAGCCACTGCACTTTGGATGCAAATTGTAGTATTAAAGATATAAAGATGTCTGCCAGCTGAACCACTGATAAACATTCATTCATTTTTTTCATTCATTTTCCATATCCACTTATCCTGTTAGGGGTCGCGGTTAGGCAGAAGCCCATACCAGCTGAAGGCAGACAAATTCATGCCTACAGGCAATTTAGGGTCACATTTTTGTTTCTTTGTTGGTGCAAAAAAGAAACTCAGTAGTGTGGAGATACATAGCTATGAATCTCTTCCACTAGAGGGCATTTCTGTATTGGATAAAGCAGCAGCTTACAAAAAGAAAGACTACAGAAAGATTTACCGTTTCACTTGTTAAAATGTCCCCAGTGATTTTTCCTCCCTCACTAAAACTGTTGTATTGAGTAACAGAGCAGATTCCTGTTGAAATCAAGCGACACAGACAAGAGAATCTGGTTTAAAGTAAAATAAAATATGTGTTCATATTTAATCAGATGGGATCCAATCTGAGACTACTCCAGACACGGCAAATTACATAAATCCCTTTAGAGGAGTCTTCTGAGAGGGAAAAAAATGTTATGAAGTTGTGCCAGACGGCAAGGCTTGTGAATAAAGAGACTGAATGAGGGTAACACAACTTTGCTTTATCAGATTTACCTTCAGGCGTAGACACAAAGAGATGGCTGTGTTACATCAGATAGTGTTCTGATGCTGTGAGAAGGAAATAATAAATAAGTAGCTTCATCAGAAAGCACAAAATGTTAACCAAAATGAAATGCATTTGTTAATATCAGCTTCTAAATCATACAGCAAGTCTTAACCGGTCACTGAAAGTACAAAATCAGATGTCTGATACTGACACCAACATGCTGCATAACTCAACTGTAGAGATGTGCTGCTAAATATTTCATCCCGCTCTGAATTGCAGCTACGTGTCATGCACGGTTCGCTATTGTTAAGTCCTCTCCTGTGATGTTGCATCACAAAGCTATTCTCGTCTCCAGATGAAGTAAGCAGTCTGATGTCTTTATTATTTATCCTGATTTGAGTGACTGGTGTATTTTAGTAAGCTCTACCCTTGCTTCCCTGTGTCTCTGTGATTGCAGATGAAGCAGCTGCAGTTCAGCGACTTTGTGATTCTCTGAAAGGGCAAAAAAGGAGGCACATGTGAAAACACCCAGTTCATGACACTGTTGTTACTCTGAAACATTTATTGATTTATTTATGGGCCTAAAAGTTGTTAGATTTAAATATGAGAATCACCTAATGAATACCCCCCATGTGTAAATGTTTGACTGTAAATTCAAATTGACAATAATACAAAAAACAGAAATACAGAGGACGTGACTTCAGTGTGTCCTTAATGGTAGCTATGAGTCTTCCGAGCACTGTAACGTGCAAGCACCTCAGCATATGAGTGAATTACAAGTAATCCTTAACAGGTGATCTTTATATTCAGTAATTTCTGTAACCACTTATCCTTTTAGGGGTCGCGGGGGTGCTTGAGCCTATCCCAGCTGACATCAGCCAAGGGGCGGGGTACACCCTGGACAGGACGCCAGACTATCGCAGGGCTGACACATTCACATTCACACCTACGGCCAATTTCACCAATTAACCTGCATGTCTTTGGACTGCGGGAAGAAGCCGGAGTACCTGGAGAAAACCCACGCTGGCAAGGGGAGAACATGCAAACTCCTCACAGAAGGGCCCGACCACCCCAAGTCCTCATTGTTTGTTCTCGCTGTAGAGAACTCCAACACTTTCAATGTAATCATTTTGCCTCAGTTATTATTGAGAAGAAAGACTTATTTATTAATTTCAGGGTCAGTTATGGTCTTTCTGGTCCATCCTAAACTTTGGCCGTGTTAATAAAAAGTATAGAAAGTTAACATTACAGAGTGTGTATTTGCCCAGGCGTATACACCAGGGTGTAAATAGACTTATTGGTTACGGACACCTGGGCGATTGCATCTGCTATGATGCTATAGCCTACGCAACCAGGTATAAATAGCTTCAGTGGCTATTCCACCACAGGCACAAATTGTCTGACAAATCTGACGTATCTGTAGACAAATTGTTGTCTACAGATACCTGGGTGCAAATAGCCTTTATCATATTACTATCATGCTGGCCTCAAAATTAACACTGTTTCTCTGTTTACCTTATTACGTACGTCTTAACATGTGCCCTGACTTTAGCGTTAGATAAGCAATAACTTCCCTCTGCTCAACAGAAACAATACCAAGATACATGAGTGGTCACAAGATGGTGGTGGTTAAGGCGATACCTGGAGAAAAGCATATTTGTTTTTCTTTTCTGACTTTCCTCTTATTTTTATGTGTTTTTATTTTTGAAATACTGAATACCCCCTTGGAGCCTCAAATGAATCAATCTGAACAGCAAAACTCTTCAGTTTAACTGCTTATAACTTTATACTTACACGAGGCAGCAAAAGCTGGGAGTCTACTGATGTACAGTATCCCTACTTAGGATATCTGGTGTAAGTCTGGAGAGGTTTCTGCATATCCTGAACAGCTCTCCTGCGTGAGTGTAAAAGCCATAATAGCATCATTATAATGCTTTAGGAAAAGCAATAAGAAAGGCATAGACAGGATAAAAAGATCTCTTCTTACACTTCCTGTTTTATTCATCTATGGGTTATTTTCTCCCTTTTTTAATCAGCTCTGTCACTTTGTCAAAGTCCCAACATTCACAATTCTAACACCACCATATCCGACCAATCATTATCTTTCTCCCTGTATTCCTCGAGCCAATCAGACCCCAAAAGCTACTCTTTCAGACCTGCTATTGCCCCACCTCCCCATCACCACCATAAGCTCCAGGATGTTCACAAAGATTTAATCGAGAGTTTCCATCAACCACCTGCTGGCTTCACTCCACCACCAGCGAGATCATCATCTTAGTGAAGTCCAAATGCCAAAGTCTCTTTCTGTTCCTGACCTCAATAAATATCACTAAAAACTTCCAATTTATCTTTAATTATTGAAACAGCTTTGGCGTACTGGCAGCTCCAGTTGTACATTCAAAACTATGTATCTGTTTCATTCCAGTGCATCCATCGAAATGTCCTACTTTACTTCTAGGAACTTCAAAAGCAACAATTCATATCCTTGGGTGAGACTACTTCCTGGTCAGCCAACCCCTGAGGACAAAGCTCCAAATGTGAACTGCCTGACCACCTCAAGCAATCTGCATTTTGAAAACAATTTCTTAAAAAATGTTACTACAGGCAATTTTATGATTTATATTAAATTAGCTGTCTCATTCAAGTTTGCTGCTCACGGCTCTGTCTCAGAGCAGTTTTTCTCATAACAACTTATTACATTTTTTTGTTAAAACTCACAGTGTAGAAGTCCAAGTGTACCTGAGACAAAACAATGAATTTGCCAACAATAGCTGACATTAAAAGGCCAGTTATATCTTACAAGCTCATAGGTGACCTTGCCATGAGGCAGTTAGACTATAATGACTGGCTGGAGCTACGTATTTGCTGACTATGGAGTTTTATGCCCTGCTCTGAAGGTTATCTAGGTTTAAATCTTTCCAAAGCAAGGTAATTGTGCCTCTGCTACATGGGCTTACATTTGACAATACGAAACCGACCTCTTTTATCCACAGAAACGTGCAATGAGGTGGAGGGCAGAGGATTACATTGTTGCTCATAAACATAAAGAAGGGTTGCATGGTTATTGTAGGGATCAAACTCCTTTTGCACTTTCTAAAAGCCCTCCTGATGGATTACAACCAGCTGATTTAAAATAAGCACGGAGGAATCTGCAGCAGAAATCCTTGGAGCTAATAAAATATAGTGCTGGTAGCCAAAGTGATTAAACTATAACTTCAATAACTTCAAACTTGCACTTATCTCCCCTTGGTGATCCTTTCTATTATAAGAAAACATGTGCTCAATTCAGCTCACCTTAACTTTTCATTTTTAAATTCGACGGCTTCACAGTTGCACAGTTTTAGATGAGCTAAACGATCCTCTTCCAGAGGCAAAATAACTTGTCATATCCCTTGAAGCCTCTGCTTTTAGGGTAGGATAAGCCTGCAAGTCCTGCTAATGAGCCTGAAATGGAACTGAAGAGGTAATTGCGTGTGAAAAGGGCAATGTGCTGAAGAACATAAGAGGCCATAAAATGAGGAGGAGCCCATTACAGCCAAACTAAGACATTTCAACTGGAAAATAGCATGAAGTAAGCAGGTGGATTTTCAGCTGGGGTGGAACACCTGATTTCCTGGGGTTAATGACCAACAGAGGCCTATAATAGAGAATATGTGGAACATACGATAGAGATGTGGCTGACTGAATTTCGAGCACTCTGCCGCCCATTCTTCACAGTATTTTCTTGCTTTATGAAGTCATAAGAGAAGAGAGAAAACTCTTGGGGGTGATTCAATTCTTGATTAACTGTGGCTTCAGAATAGTAATCTTAAGTCAAAAGTCA